TCATAATTTAGAGTTTCACTAATTCGATTTATTTGGAGTTCTGCATTAGAGTTTAACGCAGACGGATGTCAGTTCTGCACTTTATCAATGTTTAAGCAGATGGACTGATGTATTGAGTATATGATGTTATACAACATAAGTGTTGTGTGTAATATTGTGTAAATATGTAAATAAACTGTAAATAGAACATCTGCCTTATTCTTGGACATTATCACGTTACAATATGTATGTTACTTAAATCAGATTCTTTCGCAAATAGTGAGAATTTTCTCTGTATTTTAATTTGTTAATATAAATTATGAGAAACAGCAACTGAAAATCTTGGTATGCATTTGCATAACATGAAAATAAACATATGTTTTAAAATGGCATTTTTTTTGTTTCATGGTATAAAAGGGGGTGTTTTCCATAGATTTCTGTCGTGAAATACTCATTTTCTATTAAAATAATAGAGGCGACTCTATTTAATTGTTGAAAATTCTTAAAAATGAAAAAAAAAATCGAATAAGCTAGCTTGATTGGGAATACCTAATTGAAGACCTACAAGTAATTGAAGACCTACGGAAGACCTAGGGAAGACCTACAAAAATATGGGCTATATACAGCAAAACTGATGCGATATTCTTATTAATCATGTCTTAAATATATAAAGTACACAAAAAAGTTTTATAAAAAGAAGTTTTAAAGTGTATTTTTAAAGCTCGATATGGGGAACTATTTCTTCTCTCAGACGACCTACCGCAAGAACGATAACTCGCGTTAATAACAAATCAGCTGTTCACCAAAACACATCAGAAAAATGTAAATAAATCAATAGTTAATTGAAGAAAAACAGAAGCATTGAAGATATTTTGAAATAATTAAATCAAAGATGAAATAATAAAAGGGAATATTCAATTAGATATTATTTTACTTCGTAAAAAAAAAAAAAATAAATAAAAAACTTAACCAAAGCAGAGACATCTACATATTATATAATACCATAATTTAATCAATCATAAAATATGTGTATATTTTTTTTAATGAATTATTAAATTGTTATAAGAAGTTTCCATGATTCCTATGCATGGACTCTTTTTTTTTTTTTTTTTTTTTTTTTTTAACCGAATTCCTTTCTTTCTTTTTAAAAATTTTAATTTATTTTCAAAATTATTTTCATTGGTATATCAATGTACAAATTAAATATGATAATAAATAATGTGTTATATACACATAAATAAATATGTTTATGCTTTGACAGAGTGTTAAAACTAAGTTTAAAAAATCGGAAGTATTTTTTCTTAAAGATCAGAGCCACAATCACTTACAAAATCTTCTTACATTCACTGAGCCTGAACAGCAAAAAAAGATTTCTTTTCTCAAAATATGCATGCATTTCATTTAAGTGATTACATGTTACTTATTTAATTTATAAAAAGAATTTGTGTACTTTGTATGTAAATAACAGACAGAATATATTAAACTATTTCTTGTTGCTATCCATAAATTCATTGATTAATTCTGTAGATTTCAAATTGTCGTGTTAATTTATATTTCATGGAATTCCACTTGAAAAGTCTTATTATATTCATATTTCTGAATCTGTTAATATTTATTTTCAGTTTATGACATATTATATTGATCTTATTTTAAGGAGAGGTCAAACAGTGTAAGTTATTTATTTAATCAAAATATGTTCAAGAATGATATACAGTATATTTTGGCTCTACGTGTTTAAAAAATATTCCTTATTTAATGTTATTCTTAATGTTTTAAGTAGTATTTCTGGGAGTACATGACGGGTTATTCTAACATACATTTTTTTTTATTGTTTTTGCCACTGTAATATAAATATGTTTTTGATTAAGAGAAAAAAGTGACCATTTTGGAATTTTTTTTTCAAAATGCTATCATTTTAGTCACATGTAAAACTCATTGAGTTTTTTTATTTGCTTCACTTAATAGGTTTAAAAAGTTATTTTATATTAAGAAATCTTAATTATTCTTTCATGAAGCACAGACAATGAGTGTCTCTGTAAGAATTAAGATAATATAATTAAAAGATTTTTAAAAATATATATCTGGTTTGTTGACTGTAAATTAACTTCATCAGAGCAAGTGGGGTATGTTGATAATTGCAATCAAAACATGGAAATATCCTCAGGGTGTGTATATAACACATTAGTGGTGAAGCCTTTAGGTCAGAGTGATATCTTACCTTACATGGTTTAAGACAAATCCACAGTATACATTTCAATATTTTAGATTAAAATATTTAATATTTATCCCATAAAACATATTACATGTTTGAAGAATTGCAATAAACTATAATTAAATATTGACTATAGATAATATTGAAAGTATACATCTAATGTGAAATATTAATTTATATATATCAATCTCATCAAAATTCATATTCCAGCTTATATCTTTATTATAAAAATGATTGAAAAACTCAACAAATATCATTTGAATTTTTTTATTTGTGTATTCTCATTTTCCCTGTTCACTTCACCATAATATACATGTTGTTGTTTACAAGTTAACCAGAGTTGCCGTTCTTGCGATAGGTCGTCTGAGAGAAGAAATAGTTCCCCATACCGAGCTTGAAAAATACACTTTAAAACCTCTTTTTATAAAAATTTTTTGTGTATTTTATATATTTAAGACATTTTTAATCAGAATATCACATCAGTTTTGCTGTATATAGCCCATATTTTTGTAGGTCTTCCCTAGGTCTTCCGTAGGTCTTCAATTACCTGTAGGTCTTCAAATAGGCAGGCCGAGCTTGATTTGCCGGAGGTGGGCGGCGAAACCATTGGGAATTCCTCTCCATTCTATTTTTAGTTAGGGGATCTCCAAATATGTGTATTTTGTTCATTTATAAACATATACATCGTTTAAAATAATATCAAAACAGAGACTTTTTAGAATTTCAAGTAAGTATCATGTGTTTTATCTGTCATCTAAATATGCATGTGCATGTACATGTACAAGTTTATAAGAATTTAAAAAAAAAATCAAACTTTAAGATCGGACTCGGGATCCTCTTTAAGGTGAATCCCCTTGTTTGTCCAAATTATATGTTGTGTTGCCTAATCCCATTGTTCCTAGCTTGTTGTTTAATACATGTTTAAGTAAGTAGATTTTCTTACATATTGTAGATTTTCTGAACCGTGGTTTGATTCTAGTGGCAGAACGTAGAATGTACAGTACTGAACGAATCGAAAGTACATTATCATGGTTATCGTTAGCAGGGACCTGTGTTAATATTTCTACCAACTTGCTCTGAAACTGTCAAACATATAGATTAATTAACCCCTCAAAGTAGTTACATTAGTCATCTTGACAATAAGTCAACTTTCAGTTCCAAAGGGTCGTGAAGTATGTGTTTAACTAATTGCGAATCTACACTAGGGTCTGTTGTTGAGTAGATCATGTAGATAGTGTATCCAATTGATTGTGGCTAAAATGGGTAGTAAAACCCGGGCCGGGCCGGGAATTTCGAAGCTGAAAACCGGGTTTTTGCTAATTACTCGAAAAATCCTTATTTATTTGTCATGAAACTTACAGATTTAATTCATTACAACAAAATATACCTTCGCTGAGAATATTACGTTTTTTAAGGATTATCACCAGGGATCTACATGTATATACTAACTATATATGTTAGTATATAGGTCCCTGTTATCACCATTCATCATTTTCCCGGTGACTAAAATGGGTAGTAAACCCGGTTTACATATTTTGATGTTTTGTACTTAATATTGATAAATTATTGCAGTTTTGTGTGCTGGATCGATTAAAATTAACTTAATATACTCACAAATTAAGACCATTTTATAAAAAAATTACTGATTGTTGAAAATAAATGCATTTTTTAAATACCTGGGACCGACCAAAACCGGACACGTTTACCCGGGACAAACCTCACATTTCCGAATTATGTTTTTTTTTTTTAAATCATAACACTTAATACCCGTGAATCAAGCCAACTTCGCAGATTTTATCATATTTACTGGTAATATCTTTATCATCAATAGTAGTTAAATTAAACACATAATCATGCAACTGAATACCAAACTAGATGTACCGTCTTTATCTTGTCGATTCATTGTGACAATCAACAACACCATATTAAGTATTTGTATTTGAAAAAAAAAACAGGATTTTTTGTGTATTTTTTAATTTTTTTTCCCCATTTGTATATTTTGTTTGTGTATAGGTTACCATCGTAATAAATTCTACATTCTTTTCTCTGCACTTGGTCATCTGACAGCAACATTTCAGAATATTCCAGTTTGTCCCGGGCAAACGCGTCCGGTTTTGACCTGTTCCGGGTATTAAAAAATTGATGATTATCTTAACTATCTATATTCATTTTCGCATTGGTCATAAAATTTAAGTTCATAAAGTTAATAAACAATGATAAAACACAAAGATATCCCATTTTCTGCATGCAACTTGCTTTAATTTAAAATCACTAAAATGAATGAACTGGGTTTACAACCCATTTTAGTCACCAGGAAAATGTCAATTGTTAATAATCACTGAAAAACAATTGATATTTGGAGTTAAAACTCTCAGCGAAGACAAATTTTGCTGTATTAAATTATGTCTGTAAGTTTCGTGATGAAGAATTCAGTGTCATTTGAGTAATTGGCAAAAACCTGGTTTTCAGTTTTGAAATTCCCGGCCCAGCCCGGGTTTTGCTACCCATTTTAGTCACACTCTATACAATTATATGTATGTAATGGTGTATATGCATTTCTGACCACTGATAAAGGTAGGGGTCTCTACGAAAGTTTGATTTTCTTGTATTAAATGCCTACCTGTACATGCATGGTAATTGAAATTGTGCTTACTAACAGGGTAATAGTAGGGTAATAGTAGTTTTACTATCAACATGATCAAGTGGATTTTACATACACTGCGATAGCCACTATTGTATTATAAAAATAATTAAAAAAAAACAGAGATAGAAGCTTGTGTTCTAAATTATTGAGTTATTATGTTTATAGTTTTTCTCTGGATTGGAGATTTGAGCAATGGACCCAGCCAACAAAGACATAATTCCTACGTCACCTCTGGAAAGATTTAAACCACTTCAGGAGAATTTCCAGAAAAGACTGAAAACTTTCAGTAAATACCCAAAGAATGCAGTGAAAGAGAAAGAAGATCTTGCAGATAATGGCTTTCATTACATTGGCAATGGTAAAGATGATAAGGTTCAGTGTACATTTTGTGGAATAATTATGAATAACTGGGAAGAAAAAGATGATATTCAGTCCGAACATCGTCGATTTTCCCCATCATGTTCTCGAGTTCTTGACAATGACCGCAAAAATTTCGGTGCCAATCTGGATGGAGGGCTTTCTCGTCTTGACTTCATTAGGAATACACAAAATGCTGCAGAAAATGGTGCTATTCCTCAGATGAAGGACTATAATTTGAGAATGAAGTCTTTCAATGATTGGTCATACAGTGATGATGAAAAACCCTCAATAGATGCTTTAGCAAAGGCTGGGTTATTCTATACAGGTAATTAATTGGTGACAAGCATAAGGCACTATATTTTTTTTTATCAGTGGGGGCATTGAATACCCCCCATTTTCCTATGCATATGGTAAAAAGTAAATCCATTAGTTTCCTAAATGTCACTATTAAATGATAATTTAAAAGTGCAGCGATTTTTTTCTACCCATTGGGAAAGGTCCGGTACCGGTTCAGTTGGGAAAAATAGCATCGAAGTAGATCAAAGGAGAGTTTTCTGGCATTTAAACAAATGAAACGTATTTTCAGTTTATTCCAACTTCATTACATATTACCCCATGTTTTAAAGAATAAACAACAAGTATTTATTGTTTTTCATATCATTGTCCCTTGTTTTCGCATTTTCATGCTTTCAATTTGTCAAAATGTATGACATTACGCTGTCTACACCACAGGTCCTGCCATATTACGACTAATCTCTACTTTCGATTCAAGCCGAAGTGAAACAATTAGTCAACTTGTACAACATGTACAATGTTTCATTTAAAAAGAAATACGATGTCATCATAGTCTGTTGCTTGGCAGTTGAATTTGGAATTTTTAATCTCAAAATTGGGAAAAATTAACATTTTTTTGGCATTGGGAACGGTACCGTTTATCGGTATCAGTTATATAAGGGAAAAAAACGCTGAAGTGAAAAACAAAACTCCAGAAAAACAAAAAAATTTATGATTTTTTATATGTTAATTGATTTTCCCAATTTTCGCGAAAATTAAAAACTTTCCTCATTTTCCCAAGTTAAATTAAGGCCCCAGCATCTGTACCAAAAATATGGTGCAAAAGCCCTTGAGCATTAGTATCAGTATTGGATGACTTGCTAGACTTACTTGAACAAGATATATGCAGGAATTTAAAAAACACTGACATTTGATGAAAATTTAAAAGTATGTATTAATTGAATATTTATCATTGATTTTGATTTTTTTTCCCGGGGGTGGGGGGGGGTGGGGGTGGGGGTGGGGGGGTTAGAGGGCTAATTTTCAACTTTGTTTACATGTACAGCAGTTTGTGGTTTCATACAATCAGAATATAATCAAGGTAGAATACTGATGCTTAATTTTTACAAAATTTGTTTCTTTTAGGTAAAAATGACACTACCCAGTGTTGGTTTTGTGGAAACCTGCTGGAGGAGTGGGAACCAGAAGACAAACCTAAAGAGGAACACGATGCGAACTTTCCAAAGTGTATGCTGGCTGCACACTAAAGTAAAAAATATCATTCGGGGAGGGAAGAGGGGAGGGGCTTATATATCCAATTGATATTTAGTGAAGGACTAGTTATGCAGTCATTGTATTTATTGAGAATTGTTAAATTGTGCAGAACTTTTATGAATAAGCATATAGACATAACAGAATGAACAATTGCTTGTGAACTTTGAAACATTGTGTCATACTCCTTAATTTGAAGTACATGCAGTAAAACACACAAAGTGATAAATTCCTGATAAAATTATAATTTCAAGGAATGAAAATCACTTCCTTGTATTAAAGTGAGAATTCATTATAGCATGTTTTACTACATTACCAAGTATGCACAGTAAGTGCATGACAGAAATATTTTCATACGTGTAGTATTTAAAAAAAAAATTCTTCACTGAATTCCCTGTTGAACCTAAATACTCGGTCAAGTGTGATGACATATGATTTACTGACAGGAAAAAAAAATTACATATACATAATGAATAATGCCTTATTTAAAGGGAAAATGTATTTAAATTTATTAATATATATTCTAGTAGTCATTTTGCACAGACAGTCATTCGTACATTTTTCCTAGACAATGATTTTTCAGAATTTTTAAAATATTCCTATTTCAATTCTTACATAACTTTATGGGGTTTTTTTTTTGGTGGGGGGGGGGGGGGGGGACAGCTTTTTTTCAGAAAATGAAAAATAATTTCTTTGATCATTAATGTCATCTCATGAAACTAAAAGAATGGTTTACAATTACTGTTTTACATTTTTATTCAACCTTAAAAAGTCCCAAGTACAGAGAAAATATCTAATTTTCTGAGTATTGACCAGTTAACCAAGTAACATCTAAATCAAGAGAGATAACTTACAAACTTATTTTGCCCTTGACTATGCAAGAAAGAAATAATTTTTTTTTTTTTGTTTATTTTCAGAATTTTCTGCATGTAACATGTAGAAGCTAAGGAAACTTATAATTAGGAATCAAATGTACATGTATCATGACTCAAATTTTTTCCATAGACATGATATCACAATGAAAAAAAAAATTCTTTGATTTTTTTTTCTCTTCAAATTCTGAACATATGATGAAAATAAAAAGACAGAATTGTTATGTCAAAATATATAACTATAGTGGACATCATCATGTTTTAAATTAGTGAAATTTAATATTATTAAAATACGCTTTCACAAATAAGATTTAATAAGTTTTATCCGACTTGCTGGGGGGGGGGGGGGGTTACATTCCTATTACATGTAGTTACAGTATTAGTTACACATCTATTATTGCATCTAAAATCCTATAGTGCTCTATTTCAATGAAAATTCTGTAGATGTATTTGTTTAAGTTACATGTTTCCATTTTGCTATCTAGCAATTCCTGTATTTTTAATTATAATAATAAGTGAATGCAATCTGTCTTTCAATGTGGGCCCTCAACGCCATGTGTGTGTGTGTGTGTATTGTATTTTTCCTAAATTATAGTTTAAAGTTTACCCTTTGATATAAACTAATTTTTATGTTATGACTTTTCTTGGTGAAGTTTTTGTATAGAATAAATTTATTAATTTGTGAATATTCATTTATATCATAGGCTCCACTCCTTTCACTGTAAACAAAGTATCTATTTGTACATATATACATTTCTCTCAAGATTAAGTTGAGGGAAAAAGGTGGGGGGTGGGTGGGTATGGTTTTAAGATGATAAACATATGTATACATGTACAACCTTTAAAACAACTGTATTAAAATTAATGTATGCAATTATCAATACGTTTGACTTAGATATTGGCCACAATAAGGGATATTATTGCAGAATTTGTTTTTATAAGTATATGTTTGGGGGAGGGGGTGGGGGTGGAGTTAGATGAGGGATGGCATGGTGCAATTGCAAGTTACTGATGTGACATGTGGACCTCTCTATTTTTCATGTGCAAATCTGAAATTTGTTCACTTTTATTTTTGTCTTCCATGTAAAAAATTAATAAAAAATATTTTTCCATTGAATTATTATGCAAGAAAACTATAGATATACTTGTACATTTCGATGTGTGTTAAATTGTATTTTCTGTTATATGTTGTATAAACTTAAAAAAGAAACAATCATCCCAATCCAAGATATCTTAGAACTAGAGAAGCTGTTAATATTTTTTAAATATGTGAGTTCTAATGCCGGGAAAACTCATTTGACATATTAATGTTTATTGATATAGTTACATTTTAAAAACATTGTACCATAACCATAATTGTAATTCACAGTTTTTTTTTAGAAGCTCTAAATGTCTTGAAAAATTGTAACATGTCATATATTTTGTTTTTTTTTTATTTGTTTTATCAATATAATGTAATTCACATATTTACTAACTACTGTAAATTCCTTATTTTTTGCGAGTACTTATTATCGTGAAATAGCTCTTAAACATTTGCGAGAACAATAATTCGCAAGTGGATGGATTGGTTGATCAAGGGATTTTGCATTGATTTCAGCACCATAAAAATAAAAGCAAGTAATCTTATTTCGCAAGTTGTGTTTCTCATGAAATTATGAGATAATTAATTCCTCGCGTATATTTAGGAATCTACAGTATAAACCCAGTGATCAATTTTTAATTTTATATACTTTTCATTTCTTGCCAGAAGTTCTTTTTTAGTACAGCTCCTACATCAACATTATGAACATTAAAAAGGGGAGAAATTAATAATAAAGTAAATAAAATATTTTAAATTTTAATTACCATTCATAAAAGTTTTCAGAGATATACCATGTATACCAGAGAAGTGTAATATTTTTTTTTTTAATTTATTCTGAGCTCAGAAATTAAAACTGTGTTTACAGATTTACCGATTGTAAATGATTTAATATTACTATAATTATCATAGGCCTATTAGATACATGTATAAAAAATGTTTGTTTGTTTTGTTTTGTTTTTGTTTTTGTTTTTGTTTTTTTTTTTTTTTTGGGGGGGGGGGGGGTAAAGGACTTGTGGTATATAGAAAATATTTACATATACTTAGCTCACCTGAACCAATGGCTGGAGTGAGCTTTTCTGATTGAATTGTGTCTCTGTCTGTTGTGCATTGTGTTGTTAACGGTTTATAAGTTTTTTTCACATTTTCAACTTCTGGTCCAAAACTACCAGATTCAGGTGAAGTGCATTCACATTTTATTTTTTTTTCAAATGAACAGCCATGTCTTTTTTTAAGGGATGATAATTTAATGGAAGATATTTGAAAATATTGGTTTGGTCATTAAAAAAAAAATTGTTCACCACAGAGTGAAAAAGAATAAAATATAATGAAAATCATCCTTATAAGTAATATGCATCCAATTTTTTTTTTCAAATCATTTTCCCTGGTGTTATAGTTGTGGCACAATAGGGGTAAAAGTTATTTGGACATATATTAAAAATCATGGTCCTGGGTTCCATTCTCATTCCTGGTGCTGCTTCAAACCTAAGACATTTAAAATAGGTATTGATTGTATTTTTGACAAGCTTTGACATATGTTGGAAATATCTTTAAAACAGAATTTCTATCATCCACATTTAGTGCATGTGGATTTATGTTTGTTCCTTGGGGCTAGGGCACAATAGTGCGTCAAGAATAACAAAGAGAAATTGATGAGAATCCTTTAAAAAATTTCCAAGTAGAGCAAGGCTAAGATGATTCAGGTGAGCATTGTGATCCATGAACCTCTTCTTTTTTTTTTACCATTTTGTTATTATTTGCTATTGTTCAGTGTTTTTATTTAACATGTATTCACTCACTGAATCTGAAAATAAATATTTTGTTTTACCATTTGATTCCATATTCTTTCTTACGCTTACGCTGTGCTGTGTATACATGTATACAAACACGTAACAATTTAACCTGACTTAGTCTGTGGAATAATGATACATGTATATGGATAAGTAGATGGAATATCTGAAGAAAGGAATATTTGTAATGATGATATTTTTAAACAGTGTTTCTTTTTATTGTCACGTTAGCTTGTTTATAAAATTTAAAATGGGGTAGTAGCCAGTACTTAACAAGAAAAGTTTTTACCCCCCACCCCTCCTCGAGCAAACTTCTGAAATAAGGGCATAAGACAAATCAGGATAGCATATTGATTGCTATAGTTGTATCCAAACCCCACTCCCTTTAGTAATTTAGTAATGAGTAAATTTATTAACAACCCCCTCCCCCCCCCCCAAAAAAAAAGAAAGAAAGAAAGGAAACAAAATAATCTATTGAAAAGGAGCTGTAAGGCAAATCTTTGCATGTTGACTGTAACACCCACGCGATTTTTAGTAAGCGAAATATAAAAGAGTAAGCAAGTATCTCCTCTAGTCAGACGACTCTTAGCTCTATTACAAAGCGTGTACTTGACGCTGATTTCATCTCACAGCATGTTATGTTTGTGTATTTATTATGTCAAATGATGCTCACATTGGATTCCCGCCAGTTATCTTGTGCGAATGCATAAATATTTCTAGGATCTTTTAAAACAGAGCTCGTCTGTCAATTTATTGCCGATTCCCATTACATGCTTCAAAAATGTCGGTTCGTAGATTTACCGGAGCGAAGATTGTAGTGTTTGGGGGTGCTGGTGTCGGCAAAACGGGTAAGTCACATTGTTTGTTTGTCTGTGCGTATGAATTTGGCATCTTTAGTGGTGTTTCATTTTAAAAATTTACTGTCATAGGAATTGAAATGGTTTAAGAAATTTGTTTTAATATTTACCCCCCCCCCCTTTTTTTTCCAGCTAGTGTTTCCCACAGGTTCTCTGCCTTAATTTTGCGGGGAAGTGTTTGCTTGCATTTATATTTGAATAATGCACTTGGACTTCAAGTTTTAGATAATTTGTATTATGTTATCATGGAATCGAAATTGTGATCTGAATTGTATGTTTATTTTGGCGTAAAGATCTGTATACAACACTAATCACGCGAAGAATTCTATAGAAAATAATTTTATCTCTAAATTCCACTGAAAATTTTCGGTTTTTTATTAAAAAATTATTTTAAAATTGGAAAACAATGAAATTTGGGGGGGGGGGTTCAAATTTTTTTTTTTTTTTTTTTTTTTTTTTTTTTTTTTTTTTTTTTTTTTTTTTTTAGAAAATTGCAGTTTTAGGTTGCTTTCAAACAGCTGATTTACGTGAAGCGTAGATTGGGCGGCCGAATTTTTTTCTTTATGCTGTGCAGAGTGATTTATTTGAAGAGCTAGCTATTGAAATCTTATCTTTAAGAATTATTTATATTAGATCTTAAGCACTATTTCTAATATAAACCATCTCCTTATTATGATCTCTTTTTTTCATGTTCGTATTTGCAGGATCAAAGAAAACACGTTTCAAACATTAACTTTTTGCTTGTACATATATGCACGGTGTACATCTCAATAATTTTTCAAACCTGTTGTGTTATTAAAGCATACATGTACCTGTTAATGGTGTAGACTGTACTTCGCAATATAACTTCACCGTTTCAAAAACTTTTAAATATATTATGTATCTACTACGGACAGATACAGGTACGCTCGTTCAAGATTATCGTTTTAACCACCTCTCTTAGAAAATATTGAGAGTCAATCTACATGTACGCCAAACCTTTAAAGTTCGACTCTCTATGCAGTGTGTGCAAACATTGCAAAACGGTATCATACAGAGATTTTTACGTTTCCGAAAAGTGGTTTTATAATGCGTATATGGCACTGTAAAAACTTATATTTTCAGAATTCCATTGCATAATCATTTGCTTTTTAAATTGCTAACAAACCCACTTTTTTGCACTGGTCGATTTTATTGTTTTTTAAAATTGTAATTTTTTTTTCTTTTTAGCTCACCCGAGCCGAAGGCTCAAGTGAACTTGATCGAATTTGCCATTTTCTGTCGTTGTCGTAAACTTTTCACAATTCCATCCTCTTCTCCAGAATCACTGGGTCAATTTCAACCATATTTGACAAAGAATATGCTTTGGTGAAGAGGATTCAAATGAGTTCAAATGAGGGGCCACGTCCTCTTTTAAAGAGAAAAAATAAGAATTAGTGAAATTTTAATGGCATCTTTCAAAAAAAATTTTCTCCAGTTCTAGCGAACCACTGAGCCAAAAAAGAAGGGAAAAAGCGAAAATTTTATTTCGTAGTGTAGATTAAAATCACGGGACCAATTGGAATATATAAGGAAAAATCCTGAAATATATCTTCTCAAGAACGGCAAACCCACAATTTATCATCTATAAATAGAAAAATTCTTACGTACTGTAGATTTAAGTTTGTTCAAATCATGGCCCCTGGGGGAGGGGGGAAGGGGTTAGTATGGGGCCATAACAGGGAATCAAAGTTTTACATAGGATTATATATAATAAATCTTTAAAATTCTTCCTCTTATGAACAGCAAAGTCGTTTTTAGTCATATTGATATGCATGCATCCTCAGATAGTTTAGATTCCAATTTGGCCAGATCAGGGCACTCTGGAATAGGCTGAGGATACAATAGGGGATCAGAGAAGAGAGTATAATATGTAGAAAGAAATTTTATTGAAGAGAGACAAGACCGCACTGAATCATTTAAAAAAAAAACATACCTAAGTTATATGGATTATTTATTATTAAATTAAGAGGCATGGTGTTTGGATTGGTCCGAATTCAGAGATCCGAATTTTACATAAGCCATATATACAGGAACGTAATCTTCTCCGCAAGAACAGCAAAGCAATGTTGATCGTATCGATTTTGACGAAACCCAATGTTGTGTGGATTCAACTTTGATTAAATTATAGCTGTTTAAGGCCAAGATTTTTTGTCCACAACATGGAATCAAATTAAAGAGTTCTTTTTTTAAAAATAAAATCTGCTGATGAAGAACAGCGTGGCCAAAGTGACTGAGGTGAGCGTTGTGGCCCATGGACCTCGTTTAAAAATGCCACCCCAAGGTTGAAGTTTAGTGACTTAAATATGTATCAATGGCTTTTAATTATGAAATTTTATACATGCAATCTTGCATGTAATATTAAAAAATCTTTACAATGGCGGATTTAATGCATTGGACCCCCCCCCCTTTTCATTCTAATACTAACATAAATATTATTTGCTTCAAAGTATTGTGCATGTATTTATAAAGAATTAAAAAGTAATGTATTTGTTGCTGCTCTCATAGATACAGTAATACAACAACAAAAAGTGTATATTTATATACCAGTAATTTAATACTTTTCTTTTTATTATCTAGCCCTCTTCGCCCCCTTTAAATGAACATAATAATCATGACTCTGTGCCCCCTTCCACCCCCAATGAAATTCTTGACATGACCTTGAATATATAAATAAGCACCATGTGTGTTGACATTTTTTCTGCTACATGTACATGTAGACTGTTTTGCAATTGTCTTATCCTTTTAAAATTCTTAACAAATATACAATAAATTGTTCAGCTTTGACATAAACATATCAGACCCCCCACGATTGAATTTATCTTACGAAACCAATTTGTTTATTTCCAAATCGCCTGTAAATTTTCAAAAATCGGTTTAACATCACCACAGCAGATCCAAATCTCTAGTTTTCTAGAAGATTTATAGATAAATTAGCTGCAGGAAATTAGGCGGCAGAATCAGTCAATCAGATTTTTAACACGATCTTACCTGTCGGAGCAGATATGTATACATTATGTTGTTTTAAATTGCTTGCCTTTCAAGTGTCACTGGCAATATTCCCTGAAGTCTAACCCTGTCTTATCAAATGGTGGAATATCTCATTACTCACAAGAATTTAATAATGGAATTGATGCTGAAATTCAAGAATGGCACCAGGTTGGGGAGTGAGGAGGCATATTTGGGGTGGGTGGGGTATGATTGGTATTTCTTTCAAATATTTTGAAATAGATTATATGTCTGCTTGCATGGCTTATGTCCTCTTTCTGCAAGTAAGGAAAGAAGCAATTAAATCATTTAATTCCAAGTTATGGTCTAGCATTAACTTTTTAAAAAAGTTATATTTTACATATTTATTCATTTTCCCGTGCATTAATTCTCAAGAACGTTAAAGGGGTCGGTTATTTTACATTTATCAATTATTCAAATATTGCTTCTAACATATACACATATACAATCATGTATTGATAAAAAAAAGAAAAACAGAGATCATGAGTTTTCCATGTGGTTCAATGTTTTCATTATAGAGTTCAATGTTAGCACATAAAGTGGTTACGGCATATGTCGAGCTAATGGCGTCTAATGATGGCCTATAGACATCACCCTCTGAGACCTGATAACTCTCAGGAGATTGATGCTTCTGGTTTTATATTGATTCTATAAAAAAAAAAAAAGAAATTGAAAACACACTGAGGGAACAAATGAATTCAGTTTTTACTGTTTTTACTGAAACCTTTTAGAATGTTAGAGAAGTTATTTAGCCTCCGTTGATTTCAAATTGATTTGAATTGAGTGCGTTGAAATTCAACTTTCAAATTAGTCAAGTAACTACATATAAGAGAGAGAGAGAGAGAGAGAGAGAGAGAGAGGAGACTTCGTAATGTTTCTACATATACATGTTCGTGTATTTTATACTAAAGTATAAGCCTATTTATTTCTTAATTATTTAATTAATAATTGAAGTAGAAAATACAGTAAACCGCAATCCTGTATTAAATGTAAGTAGACTTCTATTTTGCGAGATCATGCTACATACATGTATTTGAATTTTGATTTAATTTCTTCTTCTTTAAGTACTCTGTGAATTTTTCAGCCTTTGTGGTGCGCTATATGACCAGGCGGTATATTGGGGATTATGACAGAAATAAAGGTAAGGTAACATCAAACCAAAAAAACTCTAACATTTTTATGCTCCGCAATGAATATGGTCGGGGCATATAGTGTTTCTCATGTCCGTCTTCCGTCTCCGTCCTTCTGTCCTTCCGTCACACTTTGCGTTTAGCTCTGTTCAAAGCTCAGTTTCAAAGAGACTATCGAAGATATTTTTATCAAACTTCATATGCTGATAGATATTGATGAGAGCTATGCAACTGCATCAACATTTTTTGACCTTGACCTTTCCTTTGAACTTGACCTCAATTTTCTTAAGTTAGTGTGTAGCTCAGTTTTAAAGATACCATTCAAGAAAGTTTAATAAAACGTCATATGTTTATACATACTGATGTAAGCTATTCAACTGCATCAACATTTTTTGACCTTGACCTTTCTTTTGACCTTGACCTCACATTTCTTAAATTAGTGTTTAGCTCAGTTTTAATGAAACCATTCAAGATATTTTTAACAAACTTCATATGCTGATGCATACTGATGAGAGCTATTCAACTGCAATATTTTTCTTAAATAAGTGTTTAGCTCACTTTTTAAAGATACCATTCAAGATAGTGTTATCAAACTTCATATGCCGATACAAACTGATCAGAGCTATTCAACTGCATCAACATTTCTTGAATTTTACCTTTCCTTTGACATTGACCTCATTTTTCTGAAATTAGTGTCAAACTTCAGATGCTGTTACATACTGATGAGAGCTATTCAACTGCATCAATATTTTTGACCTTGACCTTTCCTTTGACCCCACTTTTCTTAAATTAGTGTTTAGCTCGATTTTAAAGAAACCATTCATAATATTTTTATCAGACTTCATATGCTAATACATACTGATGTAACCTTTTCAACTGCATCAACAATTTTTGACCTTGACCTTTCCTTTGACCTTGACCTCACTTTTCTTGAATTAGTGTCAAACTTCATATGCTGATACATACTGATGAGAGCTATTCAACTGCATCAATATTTTCTCCTTGACCTTTCCTTTGACCTTGACTCCACTTTTCTCAATTTGTGTTTAACTCAGTTTTAAAGAAACCATTCATAATATTTTTATCAGACTTCATATGCTAATACATACTGATGTGACCTTTTCAACTGCATCAACTTTTATTTACCTTGACCTTTCCTTTGACCTTAACTTCATTTATTTTAAATTAGTGTTTAGCTCAGTTTTAAATAAACCATTCAAAATATTTTTATCAAACTTAATATGCTGATACGCATTTATGAGAACCATTCAACTGCATCAAAAACGTTTGACCTTGAACTTTTCTGGGACCTTGACCTCATTTTACTTAAATTTGCATTTTGCTTAATTTTAAACAAACCATTTAAGATATATTTATGTAAGCTTATGCACTTATACATAATTTGTTGAAAATTTGTCATCTATATCCAAATTTTTAGATTTCAATTTCAATTTTAAAGAAACTATTCAAGATATTCTCTTCAAATTTCAAACACAAATGCAAATTTTCATGTTGCATTACTAATATACCCTCGGCGGGGCATTCATGTCCTATGGACATATTTCTAGTTTTAAATTTAAAATGCTAATATTTTCGTTTTTTACTGTAATTCTATTTATTTATAATGATTCACATGAGCCAGTCATTCGTATGATCGAGCGGTTGATATGGATATCAATCTGCATAAACAGATAAAGTCATATCTGGAGGGTAAATATGCATTCGACTTAGTAATCTCATGTTTCGTATAATCATTATGGATTTCCCCTTCTTTGTTATTTCACCCCATCCCCCATCTTTTTGAGTTTTTTTTTTTTTTCTTCCCCCCCCCCCCCCCATCTTTTCGAGATTTATCTTATTGATTGCTCAAGTATTCATAAAAGTTCATTATACGATACCGCAAATACCAATTACATACACTTCTGTGCACATCTAAATTATTACTTTTTTTGTTAAACATCGTACCGATATTGAAATCTCGTCTGCAAGAATTCACCTTTGCATTCATTGTAATTTTTTTTTCTTTTTTACTCAACCATCGCTATAAATATCCCGTTCTTCAAATAAATTCCTGGCTATCAACGAATCCTGTCAAAATTATTTCGTACACCAATTTTTATTTCACGGTAAGATAGAGGATCATATGTTAGCTACACCACAAAGATAAGAGCGAAAACATTGTACGGCCTGTCGGTGTGTTTGAAGTCGGAATTTTACAATCAATTACAAATATAATGTTTCTATCAATAGAATCAAAGAAATCACTATGATATGTAACACATGTCCGATCTTAAGTGCATTTCCACACGCGCACAAATAGATTTTTTTCATTTCCATGAATATTACAAATGATTCTACTTCTCTGTTCCGTTTTCATTTATAAATGTATTAATGCATTATAATTCTTAATTTTAAGTGTCCATATGTTGAATACTACATCATATGTAATATCAAATGTGCTGTAAATAAATAAATTTATGATGTTATACACTGTATGTTACAAGATTCACTGTGTTGAATGACTTGTTTTCTACTTTAGCCATGTTTTTTTAAAGGATCTCTTCCGGCGAGATTGTAAGATAATTCTGATTAATGTGTTATGAGCTGACATAAATGTAAGACTCCCCGAAAAATATTAATAAAAGATTTTACATGTAAAACAAAGCTTTTCTAACAAATAACAACCTTAAAAAGAAATTCGGATTCTATCTTTTCATTCAGAAAAAAATATTAATATCATTAACACACAAACGTAGTTTCTCGGGGTTTTTTTTTAATTAAATGTAAATCATTGTAATTTTCTTCTTTACTGATTCATAATAATTATTTTGTGTGTGTGTGGGGGGGGGGGGGGGGGGGTAGAGTTGCCTCTATAACACAATTTTGTTATCTACACCAAAACTGTCCTAGGCCTTGAAATGATTGTTCCATCATATTTCCTTCGATTTTCACCTCTAAGAACTAGCGGGAGAAAAATGAGAAATTTCACAAATTTGACATTTTAATTCATCATGTACATTCATAACAGATACCTCCCCAGTTCCCCAAATATATATGTCAGATATGTTTTGACATGTCTTTAGATTATCTCGATATATGACTAATTGTGTTTATTTTGTTTCTATTTTTACCAGAAATGCTTTATAATCACAAAATACCATCGCCTCGAGATGACGTCACGCTCGAGATCATAGACACGGCGGCTAAAGTAAGTAAACCTGCTCTTTTAATGTACAGAGAAATACCCAGTTTTATGGAGACTTACATAAATAAGTCATTTATAGGTAATAAACTTCTATTTAGTGAGCAATTAAACATAAGATTCAGTAATTTACGCCGGATTTTAATGTGTTTTTTTCCTGGAAGTTTTTATAAATAGACACATTTGAAATAAATGGGATACACGACAGTCTGTTGATTTATAAATATTTAGGCGGTATCTCTCATGGTAATCTACATGGAACGTCATAAATCCAAAATTTCTCATTCCATCAACATCATTAATGGTTTTATTACATTCTTGAAATATTACGGAGGAAATTCTGAAATTAATTTAAGGTACAATTATTCTCGCAATATTTCAAGACGAAGATTCTTCTTCTGGTCAGGAAACTCTGGTATTACTTCAATAAAAGGTATAGAAAGGAAAAATTGATTCATTCTGAAGTAAGTTGATTCGAAGGATCAAGAGAAAACTAAAAAAAAAGTAATAATTTTGTCAGTAAACATATAGGATTTTTTTTTTTACCATTTATACTTCCTATTTAAAAGTGATTTTGCAAACATGATTGATTTTGCGAAACTTTATGATAAACTAACTAATCAAAGAAACTATTATACTTAGCTTGTATGATACAAGAATAATTTAATTCTGGTTGAAAGACGCCATTTGATTGGATAGAAATTTTTTTATATCGTATAACCTATATTGCCTACGTCACACTGACTTACGTAAAAAACGTATTTATCCGCTTGACGTTACATTTAAAATCTGTACAATTCGAAGGAATTTTTTATGGGGAAAATTGAATTATTTTTTTTCTTACATATAATGATAGAATAAAATTATACGGAATGAATTTAATAGCTACCCAAGTCATACTTGCAAGAGTAGCATGTGTAAGCTGTTCTGCTAAACAGTCATTCTGCAATAAATAATAGGTAAATAAAAATATTAAATTTCATCATTTTTGTTGATTAATTTTCATCATCATTCTTTCACTTGCAGGACAGCGTGGAAAACAGAGAAAGTCACATAAGATGGGGTGATGGTTTTGTGTTTATTTACTCCATCACCGACAGAAAGAGTTATGAGTATGCTAACACATTAAAAGACATGTTGATCAAAATCAGGGGCCCGGATATGCCTGCTATAGTTGTAGCCAACAAATGTGACCTACTTTCTGTGCGGCAGGTTGACGATTCTGAGGGAGTATCACTAGCCGAACAACTCAACTGCCCAAAGTTTGACGTTTCTGTCGCGGAAGGATATTCTGGTGTTTCAGAAGCCATGGATGAACTTGTTATTCAGTTAAAGCGGGAGTTTGTCAAAAACTGCTCACAAGCAGCAGTATCCGCTAACGACAAAACCAAATCAAAACTGTTTACATTCAAAAAGGGATTCAAGAAAAGAATCAGTCGGAGTCACAGTGACACGGTGTAATATATCCAACTTCACAATTATATAAACTCTTACATGATTATTGCACTGACATGCAGAGCCTACCCAGAAAAATCATTTTATACATGTATATCATTCATAAGCTATCATTTCCACATCATATAGTCGTACTCGATAATAAAGTAAAAAAGTAAGTAAATGTATACATGTATAGACAAAAAGTAGACGAATAGTGTGCTTTTCTTAATTATAAAGTATGTTTTTGGTTTCATCTGCAGAACAAGGCGCCCCAAGCAGCAGTTTGAGATAGGTGAAAACAAACAAATAATAGATGATTTCTCAATACAAAATGCACAACGTATTTGTAAAGTTATAACAATGACGGAAGGAAAATACTGAGAAATTATAACCAGTATTTATTATTTCATCATGGATGTAGACACATTTACTGCATTAGCAATAAATCAAATATTTGCCATTGCATATGGACATGTACTGACATCAGTGATTTTGGCACTTGATTATATAATATACAAATATGCAAAAAAAAAGGAAATTCACCACTCAATGTTTTTTTACGATGCCAATAAATTTTAATACTAGATTACAGCGTTTTGTTTTGTGCAAGATACAAGGAACAGACCAAAAAGAAAAAAAAAAAATACAGTCATGTAGTCAAAAAAGTCATTGGAGTTGCAAATCAAATGTTTTTCATGTAGTAGTGAAGTTGTGAAAGATGTTCACGAGGAAAAACTGAAAAATGATATGAAAGCAATATCTTTTTCTGATACATTAAGTGTTTTTAGAGCACCATGTAAAAAAGGAAAGGACACACGTGTATAGAACTTCAATATCTTGCAGTTGTTTTGAAGAGAGGTAGTATGACAATGCACAATGATAAAAAATTTCATAATAAACTCAATTGTTTGGCATAACACTATCACACAATGGTAATAATTTGTCAATCAATACTGATCTGTTCAAAAGGAAAGACAAGGACTTTTAAACGGTATTTCAAAATTTCATCGGTTCTCTCAGAGTTTGTGGCTAACTGAGTTGTTTGTATCCTATGGGTGCAATGTTTTTGGCGTCTTTCAAGTTTCCAAAATGTTCTTCATATTCGTCGTCGATACTGACTTTGTTCTATAAGAAAGAAAGACATTTTTTTTTTTTACAAAAACACAAAATCAATACTGTCAATATAACTAATATTTAAACGGAAATAAGCCAGTATTACTCTCTCTCTCTCTCTCTCTCTCTCTCCAGCCATTTTAGATCGTTATATTCACCCTTTTTCATCAAAATATTGGTACTGCAATAAAATACAGTCAAACCTCGTTATTTCGAACTAGGTGGACCGAGGAAAAAACTTTGAGATATCCGAGTGTTCGAGATATTGAGAGTAAAATACTTAAAGAAAAAGTGCTTGGGACTATGAAAGGAATTGAATGGTGAATGCTGTAAATTTTAATTATAACAATAGTGCACAGTGTCTCTACATGTCGACAATCCATATAAACAAATGAGAGTCATGCACTTTTCCTGTACATTATGTGTGACTCTTCAAAACTGTTCGTCTCATTAACGTGGTTTCATTAGTTAGGTGATGTGCATTTTTGTGTATATATTATTATAAGTCGAGACTCACTTTTTTCCATTGGGTGTAAACCTAAACAAGTTATTCATTCCAATTCACGTATCAAGTATTGCAAGCAACGATACAAGTTTTTTTTTTTTTAATACAAGAAAAGAAATTTCATGTCGTACTATTTCACTCCTGTATTGTACATGTTGTACGTGAGCCATTAAAAATCCGCCAAAATAGGGTTACGGAGCACGGTCAAAATTAAGCAATTTTCGTACTTATTTCATTGTACTAATCATCTGGACTAATATTTAAGTTATTTCAACTGTTTCAAGAGTCATATTCACTAATATCAATCATCACACTAAGAATCCAGATAAAATATCTCATTTTCTAACCTTTTTGAATCTGTGCCGTAGGGCTCCAGCCAAAGTAACAAGTGCAGCGAAGAGAAGCGCCCCCGCAGCTATCCCGGCGATAAGTGCAGTTTTGTCGGAAGAATCTGTTGTCATAAAAATAAATGTATGAGAAACTTCATGTGGTGAACTTATAAGAAAATTCATTTAAGTATGCTAAGACAAAATGAGAGATAAAAATCATCAAGATTTCTAAATCATCATTTGATTTTTTTTTCCAGTTATGCAAATATTCAATGATTTAACCTCTCTTGATTGGTGACAATATATTAGAAATGCAGAGTGTTGCTGAACCAGAAGCAAACATTTTAGGACGTTAACTGTGACACCTTAATGTATCATGAACATAACCAAAAAAATCACCTCCATTTTACATTAACCCATTTTTATGCTTTTCTTGTCAGTCACTTTTTAAAACTCCTTGAGTATTTTTAAAACAAGTAGCTGATTTTAATATAGTCTGGTCCTGATTTTTAAAAAAGAAGGCTAGAAATAAGTTTTAACGGCAAATAATTATTATTTGGTCCAACATAGTTTTTAACCTATTTCGAGTATGCTGAATCCGGAAAAAATATGCTGGCCTTCACGAAAATGGCGTTTTAAAGGTCAAAATGGCGATTCAAAATGGCGGACATCCAAGTTTCCTAATTTTCTCTTAATGTCGTTCAAATAGGAGAAAGAATGTGTGAATATCTCACTGAGTGTAATGCAACTATAAAATGATAAAAGAATGCTAATATTTATATTACTTTAATTCAGAAAATTTAGTCGTTTCTACACTTAATTCCAATTTTCTCTGATTTATATGTCTATTGTTCCTATATTCTGCTTTGATTAGGATTTTACATTTGCAAATATCCATACACTGCAGATTGGTATTTTTCCTCTGCATCTCACTATTCTACAACTGAATGATGGTACAGCTGTAAGTTATTATTTGAATTCCGGAAAAATCTCTGCAATGGCCCATTCATAAGTTTGCAGCAAACAACCAAGAACATCCATTACATCTCATTGGATTTAGTAATGTGAGGTTACCACTACATCATCAAGAGATTCCAAATTATACATGTACATTATATCACCGGCAAAGAGGGGCACAGGACACGTCGAGTACTTTAAAGTCCTTATATATACGCAAATAAACTCTTTTAAAAGCAATGGATTTCTGTCATTTCGGCTCAGGTGAGCTTTTCTGATCAAAATTTGTCCGTTGCCTGTCGTCATCGTCGTTGGCGTTGTCGTTGGTACATGCAACTTTTCACATTTTCATCTTCTCCAGAACTATTGGGCCAATTTCAACCAAACTTGGCATAGAGTATTCTTGGGTAAGATTCAAATCAAATTGTTCAAATGAAGCGCCACGCCCTCCTCCAAGGGGAGATAATTATTAAAAAGCGAAAAATTGATAGCAGCATTGAAAAATCTTCTTCTCAAGAACCAATGGGCCAGGAAAGATGAAACTCATGTGGAATCATTGTAAGGTAGTGTAGATTCAGATTTGTTACAATCATGACCCCCGGTGGTAGGGTGAGGCCACAGTGGACGATCAAAGTTTTACATAGGAATATATACGAAAATCTTTAAAAATCTTCTTCTCAAGAACAACAAAGCAATGAACGGTCATATGTATGTGAAACCATCCTCAGGTGGTGTTGATTCAGTTTTGTTCGAATCGTGACCTCCTGGGGGTAGGGTGGAGCCACAATGGACGATCAAAGTTTAACATACGAGTATATAGGAAAAATCTTAAAAATTCTTCATCTCAAGATCAGCAAAGCCATGATTGGCCATATTTATATGGAAGCATTTGAATTCGGTGCAGATTCAAGCTTGTTCAAATCATGAATCCTGGGGGTAGGGTGGAACCACAATAGACGATCAAAGTTTAACATAGCAGTATATAGAAAAAAAATCTTAAATCTTCTTCTCAAGAACAGCAAAGCTATGATTGGTCATATCTATATTGAAGCATTTTCAGGTGGTGTAGATTCAATTTTGTTCAAATCATGACACCTGGGGGTAGGCGGGGCCACAATGGATGATCAAAGTTTGACAAAGGAGTATATAGGAAAAATCTTCAAAAATATTCTCAAGAACAGCAAAGCTATGATTCGTCATATTTATATGGAAGCATCCTCGGGTGGTGTAAAATCAAATTTGTTCAAATCATGACCCCCAGGGGTAGGGTGGAGCCACAATGGACGATCAAAGTTTAACAAAGGAGTATATAGGAAAATTCTTAAAAATCTTCTTCTCAAGAACAGCAAAGCCATGATTAGTCATATTTATATGGAAGCATCCTTAGGTGGTGTAGATTCAAGTTTTTTTGAAATCATGACCCCCTGGGGGAAGAATGGGGCCACAATGAAAGTTCAAACTTATTTTGAAAAGAAGGTCACATTTAGTCAAAAATATTTAAGCATCCCTAGTAAATGAAGATTCAATTTTGTTCAAATCATACCCCCTCCCTTTTAGGGGTAGGTCGGGGCCACTTAAGCATTTAAGCTTTTCAATACTGTACTGATTTAATTTTGCTTTTTTCCTTGTCATAGTGCTCAGGTGAGCGATGTGGCCCCTGGGCCTCTTGTTTTCAAATGTATCAGTACCACAATCTTTATATTGAGTGGTAAAACTACTTTTTTTCCTATTACATGATATGTAATACTATTCATATGTCTAAATTATATGTGGCTTATGTGTTTTAATTATGTCTTTATAATAGGCTCTGGGTGCCCCCATTCAAGAAAGTTTTCGCATTTTTAAGGTAACTGCATAGAATCTATGAAAATAAATGTAATACATGTATATAATGTTATTTTCAGTAGGTGTAACAATTTTCAACAACTAGTGTGTCAATTATGCAAAGAAAATATTAGTATTTTAAGAAGATTAGATTCTGAGCCTCTGAGCAGATTTTTGTCTGCCTGGGCCTCTGGTTCTATAGTTTTGCATCATATTTTAATTTTTACAATAAATTTGGATTGTACAATCCAACTAATTTATATGCAATTAAAAATCCATAATTCAATTCCATAAAAAAACATTAATTGAAGAATTGTAATTTGTGGCAGAAGGTTTTTTTAAGAAGAAAAATTGATCGATTTTTCTCATTTGAAGTGTTTACACTTTTGTTTTGCTTAAAGTCATATTTTCTTATGCAGTCTTCATACAGAGTTGTTTTTTTTTTTTTTGTGCGGAGTAATGTTTAAATGCTGGTGCCGAATTATACATGTATATTAAATAAACTATTTCAAATTCTATCATCATATTGTTGCATATAAATTAAAAAAAAAATAGATTCTTAAGGTACAGAAAAAAAAAGCCTAAAGTATAGCTTCAAGATGACCCTTTTTCATAATATTTAAAAAAAAAAACCGTACTCATAGACCCCCACTTTTATTTTTCTTTTCTTAATATATAACTTAATTTAATTCAGCTTAATTTCAATAAAATTCTAATAACTTTATTACTAGTGAAAATTTTAATGCCAGAAAATGACATTTTGTGCAGAAAGGTCAAATATTAAGTAATATTGCGAAGTAATTTAATTTAAATTTTTAACGTGTCTATTCAAGATAGAATAAGACTGTATAGGCCCATGGTTTATTGGAAGAAAATTTCGAAAAAAGTGATTTATGTGTAAGACGAAAATACATGCAAAAAGCAAATTGCCTCCCATTGTTTTGTAACGGTTTTTAATTAAGCTCCGTTTGAAGATACTAAAAATATACTTAAGACTTTTGATTGTAGAACCCAACTTCCTTATAATAAAGCAACTACAAACAACGTTCGTTTTCAGCAAGTATTTCTTGTATAACCATTCAAAAGATCATGGTCAAAATTTAATTAAAAATCAAAATGTATTTTTTTTTAATGTAAAACCATAATCTTTTGCCCCCTTTCTTTTAAAAAATAATATTTTGTAAGAAAGAAATATACCAGCATCTGTCGATTGACCCACTTGCTGAATCATATCAGATGACACGTTTAACGATGTAGAAGATGACACTTTTGACGTCGTAGCTGATGCTGTGTTATTTATAGGAGATGACATAGTACTTCCGGTAAAGATGACAGTACTATTTGAGGAAAATTCTGTTGTTGAAGTCGTTGTGGATGTGGGGAGAGACTCTCCACAGGAATACACCGAGGAAGCATTTCCACAGGTCAATGTCAGTTCAGAGGTACTGTCTACCGCTAAAAAGAAATCAAAAACAATTTTGACAATCATGGAATCCTTTTCAGCCAAAACTTTTAAATTTTTAGGTTTAAAATGTAGTTACCCAACATGTAGGTTATAAAACTAATTTCAAGTTGAAATATTTTACTTAATATAAATTTTAATAAATGCTCATAAAATTCATAAAGACATACAAACAAGGAACAATATTCGCAGGATCGTGTTCGATTTCAAGTTTTGATACATAGTCAATTATTGCATAGTCTACTTGATAAAATAAAATATGTCACAAAGGACATATAACGTTATATAATCTGGAAATAAAACATGCACATTGCCTTTACTGTATTGATATCAAGTACTTTAAGTAAATATTCAATGGCAAACAAACACACCTTGCAGTGAAATCCAGAAGTTTCCATCGATTCCAACATATGTATTATCGTATCTTATACTAAGTGAATCTGATTGGCTGGTATAAATAGTTGTCAGGGAAAACCCATTGTTTTTATCACAGTCAATGGAGGTCTCTGATCCTCCCTCTGAAATAACAAGTCTTTGGTAACAAGTACCACTGATGTCCTTGTGAAGACGTAAGTCTAGAAGCTCTATCCGAATAGTTGAACTCTTAGAAGCGGAAACAGAGCAAACACAGCCAGAGGAAGTTGCGCAGTCGCCACTTTTAGCAGGATATCCGTTATTCCAAACGTATAATTGATTTCCGTTGCTTATCGCCGAGGTACAAATATTTGATATCAATGACTCTAGAAAACAAAATAAAGCACTGAGATTTAATCATTTTATTTTAAGGAATAACTGTCTAATTCTTTGGTTTTATGATGTGATCAAGCAATAGACTTGCGTGATAATTTATGCATTATTAAAATTATCACGCAAGCCAATTGATTGATCAGCATCATAAAACCAAGAGATCTGGCAGTCATTCCTTATATTTGCATGCTCTTGATTCCGTAAATTCATGCTTCAAGCCCAGTCTGCTTCTCTCTCTCTCTCTCGCCCCGCACGTGATTTTTGAAAACCACGACTATCGAAGAACCAGCAAGCTTTATGCAGAAATTAAGTATTTTTATTACTTGTAGTTTTATCTCGGACAAAGACATTTAAAAATGTAAATATTAATTGATATTCCAAATTATGTTAACGAATTAGGAAATACGGGATTTTAGGACCATTTTTTATCACATCAGAATATTAATTGCTCAAAATAAATAAAGAAAGAAAGAAAAAAATAGAATATGCTTACTCTGGATGCAGTGGTAAAATTGTCGCATATAGTTTGTTTTTGTCATGAAAACACTCTGGTTACAATTTTGTTCTGTTCCGTTCCATGCCACTTGGACCTTACATGTCAGCTGACCTACACAGTTCGTGTAATGCACTCCTTTGTAGGAATCACCATAGTAACGCCATCCACAATCCGTTGATTGGTTGTTATAGCGACAACAGAAAGAGTCATTACGATTAAGTGTTGTTGATTCTTGTGGGCATGCGTGCGATTTTGGTTTTGCAAAAGTAAAAACGTCCCGGATGTAAAGAACTTCGCTGGTGTTACAGCTAGGTTCCAGGAAGTCGTCAACTGTGATACCGTAACAAGCCTCGAAAACCTGTTCCGCGGAGTCGATAGCTATATGGATAAAACAAAACAAAATACATCGTAATTATTTTTTTTCCGAACCGTGTGCTTTATGTGGTATGATTTTAATTTTTTTTAAAGAAAAAAAAAAATGATCGAACTTAGGGAGTTTGCTTTTTTAGGCAACCAACCTGCATTAAACATTATGTATTGTAGAACTTCATGCAAGTAACATTAAATGGGCATTAGCTGTCTTTTGGTCATCAAAAATTGAATTCAATGATAATTGATCCATCTTATACTAGTATAGTTCAGTAATAACAATGGTATATAATGGTTTTAATAACGTTTTACCCCTAAAACATGCACATAAATATGTATTTTTTGTTCTTCAAAGATATAACCTGTATATATACTTTTTATTTATTTCTTTACATTAAAAGCTGTAATTCAACGTAGGATAAGTCTTGTTTTTATATGAAATAAATGCTTCTATTGGTCATTAAAATATATCGCAATATTATTGAGAGATTCTGAGAAAAAAATTGTTTGCCATCATTTTCATAGCTAATGCCCCTTTAATGGTTGTACTTTTTCCTAGAGGATAAAGTAAACTAATACATGTTTAATGAACAGAAATTTGAATAGAAACTTTGGTCTAAATCTTTGTAGTTTCTAAGTAAAGTAGATGTGTACAGAAAATTATTGTGATTAAATGTAATGTCAAACTAAGAAAAATCAAAATGATAATCATGCAGTTTGCTGATATGAATTGCTCTTAAAACCATTGTTAATCGGTCTTGCGTAAATAAATAGTTTAGATAGATGACAAATTGGTTTTACATTCAGCATATCATTTACTTTTTATCGAGTGCAAACAACCAATAAAGGAAAGTGACGTAAGGGGACTATTTAACCCATTGTCCTTATTGAACACGCACATGAATCAATGTAAGCGACATGTGTGCTTTAAATACAGTCAAGTATTCGTTATGCATAAGACAATCTGTAGAACCCCCCCCTCTCTCTATAATCAAGATAGACCCCCCTTTTCCCTCTCTCTCTATGATCAAAATGTTTCGATAATAGACAAGTTAATTACATTTAGTAATACTATTGTACATTTAAATCTTTATCCAATTAAATTTCAAAACCAGGAAGTTTTATTAATTGGTCAGCATTAAGGATCGGATTAATGCACGTACCTTGGTTTTCATTTTTTAATTAGTTTAAAATTAAAACACAAATAAATCAGTGAGCAAAATATATATTAACAAAAGAAGAGAATTATAACATGAGAATAAATAAAACTATCATTCCCCGTTTGCGATGTAAATTTTAGTCCCGTTGTTTTTTTTTTCTAATTTGTTGATTGGTCCTTTCATATATGCATATAGTTACATGAAGTGAAAAATCTTTTTTTAAGTTTAAAAATTAAATTCTATAGCTTACCTACTTGACTCTTGAAACAGCATGAAAAGCAAATAAACACAATAACGGTAAATAAGTCCAAACTTTTTGAACATACATGTATATTCATTCCGAGTTCGTTAAAAAAAATCTTATATTATAATTAAATTCAATTCTACGTCGGATCTCATTGATGTTGTTAAACACAACAATATCAATTCCCAGTTATCAAGTATTTGACATAAGTTGCCAGAACATAACTTATGGATGTAGAAAAAAGTTTTTAAGACGATCTCGACAAATCATAAACTTCATAAACCGTTTTACTACTACCGGGTTCAATTTAAATTCCCCTATTTCTATCATTGTCTCATTTCAATACAACCGTGGTTAAAATCGATCGATTGAAAAGTTTAAACTCTCTTGTGATCGGCACTCCAGACTTTATAACGAAAAATTCGTCTTTCCAATTCTTTTCAATAGGTTTATTGTAGTTTGGTTCCAATGATTGAAACAAAAACTCTAAAGTTCTAAGGAGTGAAAAAAAAAAATTCTGAAGTTTTCAATACAACTATCTGTTGGTATATGGTTTTGTTTTCATTGCCTACATGCATTTATTCATTGACAACTAGGAATATCTAGTATGGTACATATATGTGTATCAAACGTACTTTTATGAGTTGAATAATCACTTTATTTGTTCAAACTTATTTTAGAATGTCTGATTTGTATGTTACACAAGTTTTATATGACCTTGGCCCCAAAGTATCAAATATTTAAAGATTGCATATTGAATAATGATAAATAACCAAAAAATAGGTCATTGGGAACAAATTTTGAAGACATATTTTTTGCCTTTAGATGAAGGTTTGTTAACCCTGCAAATAAAAGTGTTTAAAATATATGTTTAAATCTTTGAAAATGATTCACCTTAAAATTCAGAAAGTAGGTTATGGTGACACCCTTTTCAGTTGACAAATCTCGTAGCCCAAAAATAAAGTAACTGACGACGTTGGACGATTCAAAGCTTCTTAGTATTCAAAAATAGCTAAAATGTTTAAAATTGGCTAAAACTTTAGAAGGAGGATCAGTATGACCTACTTTTTTCATTGTTAGATCCTGACACCCAAGATGCTTAATTAATAAAGTTTGGTGATCCTTCGCATAACTATGTCCACGATATGCTTGTAAAAGAATTTGATAATGAAAAATGATAAAATTGAAAACATAGGTCATTGTGACCTTCTTTTAGACCAAATATCCCAAAATCTTAAGATGCATAAAATGAAAGGTTTGATGAATTTTCACAAATTATTTTAGGTGAATTTTAAGTTTTCTTTAGACCTGTGCTCTAGGGTTATGCTTTGATCAATTTTGTATCTACATCGTATATTCATCCCTAAGGATGTTTGGTGATAAATTGCCCAGTGGTTCCTGAGAAGATTTTTCAGCAATTACTACTGTTTTAATTTCCCTAGTTATCTTATTTTGTTTAAGTTCACATTCCTATTTTTAGTAATAAAGAAAGCCCTTAGGTCAACGATACTCTGTGACACTTGACAAGCTAATTTAGAGGATTTTTGTCCACCACTTTAGGGGAAAAAATTAAAAGGAGTTGAATAACTGAAAAAATATGCCGTTGGAGAAAGAAACGAAGTCAACCTTGACCTTTTCATCTAATGTCAATAGGTTTTGTTTAGTGAAAGCGGGGAACAAAACACACATACACAGTTTTTTTCTTGTATTTTCAATATGCACTACAACTGTCAAATGTGCTTAAGTTGGCAAATTTTCTGCATTAAGTATAGTTTTCAGTACAGTGCAGGGAACTAATTTTGTTACATAAACCAGCATCAGCATAAGCATTAGTAGCATCAGGATCGAGCTAGCATCAGGATCAGCATTTAAAAAACAGCATTACCAGGATCAGCATCAGCAAACAAAGGATAAAACCAGCATTGACCTACATAAAATCAGCATTATCCTACTAGCATCAGAAAATCAATGAGTTTTAATTCAGTAAAAAATTAAAAAAAGAAAGAAAGAATATTGGTTAAAGTATTCACATTATTGATACATAGTGAGATATTATGATCAAATAATTGTAAAAGGCACTTTAATTGCTTTAAACGGCAATGCTGAAATTCATTATCTACTTCCGGTAGCATGATGCTACTTCCGGTAGCATTGACCTAATTATAAAACAGCATCAGGATAAGGATTACTAGCATTAAATCAGCAAGCAAAGGAAGCATTCAAATCAGAAAGCAAAGGAAGCATTCAAATCAGCATGGATGCTGTAACAAAATTAGTTTCCTGCACTGTAGCTTTGTGCTTTGTGAAAACACTGTAAACTGCCAATAATCTCACCACAACGTTTGTGCAAGCATTCTGTAAAGTCACTCGACTGTGTAATTTATCGAGCTTTTGTGAATAATGAAGGTCCTAGTATGTTCAAAATGTCCAAAAATATAAAGTTATTAACCATATAAACATCAATGAATTTATTTCAACTTGTGTTACCATATATATAAATAAATGACTAGAATTTTATGGTCTATATATACAACACATTGCAATATAAATATTACCAATTAAGTGTTTTGGAACATAATAAATGCTAAACATGATGCATTATACCAAGTATGCACTAAACTGTTTTCAAAACAGTATTAATAAATTTCTTAGTGTTAAGGACACTGATAAATAATATGAATTTATATTTTTTAACAATGTCATTAACAGATCTGATCTGATTTTTCTTTTAATATAAGATACAGGTTCGATCCTCAACAGTCATCCTTATGATTAAAATATAATGATGAAATTTATAGACAAGTTTATTACTCAGACTTATAAATTTTAAATATAAAAACAAACTACTTATAAATAATCAAAAATTATAGAGCTGAGCTAAAACAATGGCATTTCTGTACTTCCTGTATTCCAAAACTTCACTCAGTGTCTGATAATTCACTTTTTAATGAAATAATAATTCACGTAACATTCATTCTATGCTGTAGGATGAACCTTGGGTGGGAATGCACTGTACCTATGTTTTTTTTTTTACCTTATACCATATGTTATATTTCCAGGCAAAAAAGAAAGCCTGATGCCCCTGGATCGTAGCCCATGACCAAGGTTAAAGTTTCTCAAAAGTAGCTATACTCCATTGTAAATTAAGTGTAAAAAATGTTCGTACCTGAAGACAGGTCTTGTCTCAAAGAATAAACGTACGAAATAGAGAGGCCCTAGCTATAACCAATCAGACGTAAAGGTCAAAGTAAAAACTCTTTTTTTCAAAAGTGGGTCATAGTGCAAGGTCAAAGTTAAGAGAGTCAAAAATGTTTGTACCCAAAGAAAGTTTTATCATAAGAATTACACATGAAATATAAAAAGGCCTAGCACCAATCATTCAGAAGTTTTGTCAAAGATGAAATTTCTCAAAAGAAGGTCAAAGTCAAGAGCTTAGAAGTTATGGTATCCAAAGAAAGATTCAGATTCAAGAAAAACATATATGAAGAATGAAGTGAAGCCCTAACATCAGCTGTTCAGAAGTTATAGATATGTTCAAGTTTTTCAAAAGTGAGTCAAACTCAAGGTTATGAAGTCAAACATGTTGGTGTCCTAGAAAAGGGGCCTTGTCACATGGAATACACGTATGCAATTCGAAAGCCGAAGCAACAACCGTTGAAAAATCATGGCAAAGGTTAACGTTTTAGTGGACAAACATACATGTACAGACGACCTAAAACATATATGCCCCCCGAATCTCAATTAGAAGGGCATAAATTTCCAGGATATAACTTTGAAACTTGGAACATTAAACAAATAGGTAAAGATGGGGTGCATTGCATCAAAAGCTTTGATCTTTCTCACGAATTAAAATTATTGACCATGTAAAACTTAGATATCTTTAGTAGTATGCAAGATGAATAAATCTACTGCATTCATTAAAAAACAAAACAAACTCTCATTAGGCGCCATATTTTTATTCCCCCGTTTTTGAAGATTCGGGACATACAACCATTGGTCTGACCGTTCGTTTAATTGTCTGTTAATCTGTTTGTCTGCAAAAACAATAACACTGCCCATAACTTTTAAAAGGTAAGTGAGAGGGCTTTCATATTTTACATGGGTATTCCTTGTGACAAGACCTTTCTCTGGGTACCAACACATTTGATCTCCTGACACTTTATCAAATTTAACCCTTGGCCATAATTTAACTTTTGAAAGGTTGGAACTATGGCTTTCATGTCTCACATGTATATTCCTTGTTACAAGATCTTCGATTGGGTACCGACAGCTTTGAATCTTTGACCTTGTAGTTCTACCTAATTTTGAAAAAAAAACGTTAGCCTTGGACACAGATACTAGGGCTTGCATATTTCAAAAGTGTGTGATAAGACCTTTCTTAGGATCCAACATTTTTTTTCTCTTGACCTTGAGTTGCATTGGAGAAACTTTAACCTTGGCCATGAGCTGCCATAAGGGGGCGTCATTATTTCAGACACGCATCTTTTTTGTTGTTAATTTTCCGATGTCACTGAAATAAATTATTTCTCCGTTTTTTTTTCTTTCTCAAAACAGCCTCATCCTTTTTCTTGAATAACTTTGAATAATCTTCAATCAGGTTTTCTTAAATACTTAAGAAATATAGTGTAGACGACTCTCAATTGCGTGGAAACCACCCCCCTCCCCCCGGGGGGGGGGGGGGGAGGTATTTGTAGGCATTCTGAGACATCAGAGAATGTCTTTTTCAAGACATACAAGATATTAAATTGCCTGTAATTAAATATTTACTTTATAAGTCTGTGTCTTTTCTGTTTTTCAGTCAAGGGTTTAAAGAAAAAAGAAATGTGTATCGATGCCATTCAATGGACAAGACTGTATCTATGAAGGGTACATCAACTGCACATATTCTTCTGGAACTTTAGTGTAATAGTTTAGTTTAATACATTTGATAAGTATAAATGTCATGGAAGATGGTAATATAGAATTTAATATATGAATCCTTAGATTACCCTTTGTACATATTTATCTTTAAACATTCATTAATACCGTATGAGGAACAATTTATACACTGTACATGTTTTATAAAATAACCAACAGATAGACTAAAGAAATTTGTTCTCTAAAATACATTTATAACATACAGTGGAGCATCAAAAATTTGTACACTTCACCTTCCGAATGAAGTTTGTGTGGAACATTTTAATATATATAATTAGAAGTACAGTAAAACAGGCTTATATAAAAATGCCAGGGACGGACGATTTTGTTTCGATATAAACGTAATTCATTATATCCGTTACACTCACAATATATTTAAGAGGCATGGGGAATAAAAATCACTTTGCTGTAAGCATCAATTCATTATAAGTGTGTTCGCTATAAGCGTATTTTACTGTATACATTGTATGTTTCAGTTATCAAGATGCCCCATTAATCTATGAAATGCTTTGGAACACGAGCAGCTGGATTAACAAGGTGTGAGTGTACTGTCAGAAAAACTTGTATTTGCTTGAATCTTGAACAAATCCTAACCAGAACAGAAAATCTGCCATTTTTATCCTGTCCTCTGCTTTTAAAATGTCAAACGGCTCAGTGTACATAATCTTCCCTGGATCCTCTGATGTCTTCTTGTCTCCTGAATGTAAGCTCTTTAAATGCTCTTCTGATATTTTTAGGAGAACAAAAACCAACTACAATAGAAGGCATGGAATGTATTGATGGAAGATGAACGTTAAAAAAAGAGGCCCATAGGCAAAAATGCTCATTTGAGTAGCCTTATCCCATCTATTCTTCAGGGGATTGTAAAAAAAATTTGGAACTTTCTGATTGGGAAAAATTGTGACTCCATATCATGGCCCAAGTAATCTCTGAATCATTTTTCAAGGAGGATAATTAAATATCAATATGACAAGAATGGTTATGTCTTTATGAAGATAGAGAAGATTTTATTCATGTTTTCATTCACATGCACTGTTAAAAATGTTATCCCCAATTTTATGTCAACTTAATCTATGGTACTGTTGAGGGGAAAAAAATTGAAAGAAAATTTTGAAAGGTTTCCCAAAAAGATATGTTTAGCAGTTACTATTGGAACAAAATACATTTGTTTTAAATACCCATAAAGAAGTCAAGAAGAAATATACGTCAAAAGACTTTACTTTCTTTGAAGGAGATTAGAGTGCACTACAGAGTTTAATACCAACATTGCAATTTAGTAATTTAAAAAAAACAAAATGCATTTGATAATGTATATACTGTTGATCACCAAATTTTTGCGACATCTTATTCTCGCGAGATGGGTATTTGGTATGCATAGGCGAGACAAATTTTTCACGAATACTGGTTATTGTAGTATATACTCTATGCTTAAGAAAAAAATATGCAAGAATGAAATTTTCGCGAGCAGATCGTCTCGCGTAATTGCGCAAAAATACAGTTCTCGAGAATAAAAAGTGATTTACAGTAGTAAGATGCAAAATGACCAAAAAAAAAAAAAAAAAAAAAAAAAAAAAAAATTCTACACGTTCATAGTAAGAATTGTTATATCATTTTGTATTCTCTATTGTGTCTCAATATATTAGTTCATTGAAAAGAATTAAAATTCAGAAGATAAGTAGTCCACATAGAAACCATAGGTAATCAGAGATTACAGAGTTCACCTCAACGAATGTTGTCTTTAAGTAAGGCAAAGTCCCACACTAAACTAATAATCTAGGAGTGTACATCCCTAGATGCAACATTTATGTAATTTTGGTCCGATAGGGCTTGCAGTTACTTGGGAATAGACTTATCTGAAAACTTAAAACTAGTCACTCATCCAGAAAATGTAAGTCAAATCCAGCATCCGAAGTAAGTTTTGAGACTTTTTGTCCCTTGATGCATCATCCATGCAAATTTGGTTCAGATAGGCCTTATATTTACTTGGAAATGAGATCTGCTCCAAAAACTTTAACCTGGTTACTCATCCGGAAAATGTAGGTCAGATCCGGCATCCAAAGCAAGTCCAGTAGTGTGAATCCTTAGATGTATATCATCCATGCAAGTTTGGTCAATATAGTGTTTATAGTTACTTGGAAATGACATCTGCTGCAAAAACTTTAACCTGGTCACTCATCCGGAAAATGTAAGTCAAATCCAGCATCCGAAGCAAGTCTAGTAGTGTGCATCCTTAGATGTATCATCCATGCAAGTTTAGTAAACATAGGGCTTATAGTTACTTGGAAATGACATCTGCTCCAAAAATTTAGGTCAGATCAAACATCCGAAGCAAGTCCAGTAGTGTACATCCTTAGATGTATCATCCATGCAAGTTTGGTCAATTAACACAAGTGAACTAGTGATGAAATTTATTAAAAGATAATTTACGAAATATAAATGTAGAAGTTTGTATATCCGAAAATAAATCGAGTAAAGTTACATACAACAAAGGCGATTTGAAATGCTCACACACGGACACACACACATCGTTTTGGTAACTCGGAATAGTCCAAAGTAAAATTGTATTTTCTTGATGACGGAATGTCCAGTACATCTAATATTCACGTCCGGGATAGTCCACGGCTCCAAAAATTTTAACCTGCTCCAAAAACTTTAACCTGCTCCAAAGTTACTTGGAAATGAGACCTGCTCCAAAAATTTTAACCTGCTCCAAAAACTTTAACCTGCTCCAAAAACATTAACCCAGTCATTCTTTAGCTGAAATTGCAGCATCTGAAACCTTGACTGGTACAATAAAACACACTAGAAGCATCCTCCATGCATCTCTGACTAATATAGACCATAGAAGTACTTGAAAAAAAAAAACTGCTCCAAAAACCTTAACCTGGGACGCCGACGCCGAGGATATTACATAAGCTCCCCCAACTTCGTTGAGGTGAGCTAAAAAGCAACAACAACAACAAACAAGAGGCCCATGGACCACATCACTCACCTGAGCACATTGGCTAGGCAAAAGCACAAATCTGTTCAGTACTGAAAAGATTACTGGGGGGGGGGGGGGGGGGGGGGCTTGAATTTTAAACTACCTGATGATGCTTCCATGTCAATATAACAAATGGCTTTGTTACTTGAGTAGATTTTTAAATCCAAACCCTGACTCATCATGGCTTTGCTGTTCTTGAGAAGAAGATTTTTAAAGATATTTCCCATATATTTCTTTGTAAAACTCTGATCCTCCACTGTGGCCCCGCCCTACCGATTTGAATAAACTTGAATCTACCCTACCTGAGGATGCTTCTATTTAAATATGACTCATCATGGCTTTGCTGTTATTGAGAAGAAGATTTTTAAAGGTTTTTTCCTATATATTTCAATGTAAAATTTGATCCTCCATTGTGGTCCCGCCCTACCCCAAGGGGTCATGATTTGAACAAACTTGAATCTACACTACATGAGGATGCTTCCATATAAATATGACTCATCATGGCTTTGCTGTTCTTGAGAAGAAGTTTTTTAAAGATTTTTCCTATATATTTCTATGAAAAACTTTGATCCTCCATTGTGGCCCCGTCCTACCCCCGGGGGTCATGATTTGAACAAACTTGAATCTACATAAACTGAGGATGCTTCCATATAAATATGACTCATCATGGCTTTGCTGTTCTTGAGAAGAAAATTTTTTAAGATTTTTCCTATATATTTCTATGTAAAACTTTGATCCTCCATTGTGGCCCCGCCCTACCCCAAGGGGTCATGATTTAAACAAACTTGAACCTACATTACCTGAGGATGCTTCCATTTAAATATGACTCATCATGGCTTTGCTGTTATTGAGAAGAAGGTTTTTAAAGATTTTTTCTATATATTTCTATGTAAAACTTTGATCCTCCATTGTGGCCCAGCCCTACCCCCAGGGGTCATGATTTGAACAAACTTTAATCTACACTACCTGACAATGCTTCCACATGTGTTTCATCTTTCCTGGCCCTGTGGTTCTTGAGAAGAAGATTTTAAAAGATCCTATTAATTTTTCACTAATTCTTTATTATCTCCCCTTGAAAGAGGGCATGGCCCTTCATTTGAACAAACTTGAATCCACTTCACCCAAGGATACTTTGTGGCAAATTTGGTTGAAATTGGCCCAGTGGTTCTTGAGAAGAAGTCGAAAATGTTAAAAGTTTACAGACAGGCGGACAGACAGATGGACGCCGGACAAAAAGTGATCAGGAAAGCTCACTTGAGCCTTTGGCTCAGGTGACCTAAAAAGATATTGAAGAATGTCAAAGAGCAGCAACTCGCACTACAATTTATTACCGCACATGGGAAAACTTCGGAAAAAAACTCTGAAAAATGTAAAGGAAGCGATAAAAATGTCAGAAGTGAACAAATGATGATAAAGTGCTAATCTAAGATTAAGACTGCCACTGTCCCTGAATATTTTGAACAGCCCTCGTACATCGATTAATGATAACAATTATTAACTCTTTATTTAAAGAGGGTAACATGAAAAATGCAAAGCCTAGTCGTATTCCGGGTCCTTGATGCATATACATGTACTATACAAGGAAGCTTAAGCTTTCATACAGTTCTTATCTTTTCTGGCAATTTGCCTGGTCCTGTGGCTCTTTAAATGACCCCACATTATTCTAATCATATCTTCATTATCTCTCCTTGAAATCATTGAAAAAACTGAATCCCCTTCAATATATAAAGCTTTGTGTCATGTTTGGTTGAAATTGGTCCAGTGCTTCAATCTTGAGAAGTTGAAACAGAAAGCAATTGACAGATACAGACACCCTTTGATCAGTAAAGCTCACTTGAGTGTGTAGCTAAGGTGAGCTAAATTTAATTTAATTAAATTTACTATTATCTTTTGTTTGTACTGTGAAGGCAATTCTCACTTTTGTTTCCATGCAAAGGATGCCAAGAGAACTGGGATAGAATACAGAGTATTTTAACTGGCCAAGAAGCTCTCCTCCAACTCGTCCCATAATGTCCTCTCCTACTAGCTGTCTTATATTTGTGGCATCTTGATTTAATGGAGCTTTTCTTACCTAAAATGTAAAAAGATACCTGACAAAACCTTTTCTTCCATGTAAAAGCAATTGTCAGGAAGTCCTTACTTGAAACTAAAATATCTATCTTTGCATTAGTCCCAAATTTCTAACATCAAATATCAAAATCATGAAAAATGCCTGGAAAAGTCAGATATTTCGGACCATACGAGGGGTGATCAAAAAGTTCGCGAACTAATTGAATTACTTCCTTAAAAGAAATAAAATGAGGTTTCAGTGTTCATTATTTTTTAAAGTAACCCTCTCTGATTTTAATGCACATCTGCCATTGTTCTGCCCATGCGCGAATCACGTGATCCAGGCGGTCACGTGACATGCTTCGTAGCAGTCTGTTCACAGAAGCTAAGAGATTTTTCATAGTCTTATATTTCTTACCATGCAAGTAATTTTTTATAACAAGGACGGACCTTCTGTCAGAAATGGTCAAATCTCGGCGATAGCATGGGTGGATAAGGATATCCCTTCCCAGAATTAGCATGTTGATCATCACAAACCGAGTCCTCTGTCTAGGGAGCGTCGATTATCCAATGTTGAAAAAGTATGGGCGCCTTCTTTTTTTCATATCTCATATGTTTAAAGTCTAAAGTAAACGATATTTTAGGGATTTAATAATTATATTATTGCTCAGATATTCAACTATTTTTCTTACTGTAACTTGGCGATCTTTCAAAACAAATTGCTCAACTAAGGACACATCTTTTTACCGGCTTGCTTTCGCTGGGCAACAAAACAAACAAAATTTTTAACCATCTCCCTGCCTTCACTAAAACATTCAATCCAATTAATGATTGAACTTCTGGTAATTCTTTTGTCTTCATAAACCTTGTACAAACTATCACATTCTACTGCGAAGAAATTTCCAAGATATACATTAAATTTTACAGCCGTTAGTTGCTCGAGTACGAACGAGTCAACCATTTTTTGTCACAAGTGACCTACATACTGACGTCATTTTCACATTGTGACGTCACAAGCACGGAGCAAAACATTACTTAACATCTGCTATTTATAGAACATATGTATGACTATATGTATGCCAAATTTCATTCTGATCTGAATTGTTGTTTTTTAAATACAGAGATAGTTCGCGAACTTTTTGATCACCCCTCGTATTTGCATATGACCTTAAACTTGGAATACAAATGCTTAATAAGTGATGATGGACTTTATATTACATCATTTATAATTATTTTACTTAATAATAGTGAACTTATTAGTGAGTTTATTAAACCATGAAAGACATCTAATTGTGTAACAAATACAATGACCCAGTAACTGGAAATGACTTTAATTTTATGAAAAATTATTATCTGCTAAAATAGATTGGCATATAATATTGGGACAAGGAACTATAACTTATAATGTTATATTGTAAGGGATTGGTCAGAAAAAAAACCCAATCAAATTCTTGGATACTTCATAATGAAATTTGAAAGGAAATGCAAAATTGCTACTTCTGCTACTATTAAGAAAGAATAAAACTGAAAAAAAGTATATAAAAAAAACCTTAGAGCCAGACCTCTTGTCATGATTCAAAAGTCACTGCAGAACTCATGAATATCAGTAATAGATATACCTTGATTGGAGGACATTACCATGTTTGGGATCATTGTCAACAGACAGAACTACATGTACTGACAAGCGAAGGGGACAAGGTGGTCAATAGACAGCAAATAAAAATTACTTAGATAAATTTATATCCAGGACCATGTATAGATACCCTATTTGCTGGGAAAACATACTTTGGAAAGTAAATTTCCCCTCTCTTTTCAATATTTTGGCTTTCTAGAACCTTTTGGACTTATTTGCTCTTTTGATTTTAATTCAAGTTTTACAACCCTTTAGGACTTATGCTGCAATATTTGGAGTTTAATATGACAAATTTTGTATATAGATTTATTCTGATGACATTCCAAGACTGGTGTTAAAAAACATATAAAATTACTGTGATATATTAAACTTTATAATAAAAACTGAGATCTTTTGTAACAAGTTTAGTGTTCTTTAACATCTGCCTGCAGTTTAACATGATTGATTAATTATAATACATTCATATATCAACAAAATTTACCTCTATAATAATAAACAAGAGTTCTTCAAAACTCTTTCCGCAATGGTAATGATACATTAGATCAGGTGTATTCCTCACAGTGTGATTCTTAAAAGTAAAGTACCTCTCAAGTAAATATCTGAAAGGAAAAAAATTATAATACTCCAGTAGTATTTTAAAAACACAACTTAGATGAGGATATCAATTTTCAATGTAAATCATTACATAGTGACAAAATTGGGAATTCTTTGGTACAAATGATGAAGAATTTTGTCACAAATTTTACAAAATTGGGAAGGCTACCCTACAGTACCTCCACTGATCATTCTGTAAGAAACCTTTAAATTGCGTTAAATCTGATACAGTGCAGGGAACTAATTTTGTTACATAAACCAGCATCAGCATAAGCATTAGTAGCATCAGGATCAAGCTAGCATCAGGATCAGCATTTAAAAAACAGCATTACCAGGATCAGCATCAGCAAGCATAGGATAAAACCAGCATTGACCTACATAAAACCAGCATTATCCTACTAGCTTCAGAAAATCAATGAGTTTCAATTCAGTAAAAAATTAAAAAAGAAAGAAAGAATATTGGTTAAAGTATTCACATTATTGATACATAGTGAGATATTATGATCAAATAATTGTAAAAGGCACTTTTATTGCTTTAAACGGCAATGCTGAAATTCATTATCTACTTCCGGTAGCATGATGCTGCTTCCGGTAGCATTGACCTAATTATAAAACAGCATCAGGATAAGGATTACTAGCATTAAATCAGCAAGCAAAGGAAGCATTCAAATCAGCAAGCAAAGGAAGTATTTAAATCAGCATTGATGCTGTAACAAAATTAGTTTCCTGCACTGTATTTTTAAAATCCAACATCTATGCTTTTTTTTTTTTTCTGAAAATTTCCTTTACATTCCCAAGTAAAATGGTAAATACCTATTCCAGCATCACCCAATTCCTAAGTGCCATAAATTGAACAAATATGAATTTGCATTACAAAGACTTTTTGCCTTACACACATATATTCCATTTAAAAATTTGATTAAATATTGTTGCTCCACAGACTACAGTTTGAATATATTTAAAAATGCACTAGGTTGGGTTAATTACATAATAACAGTTATTTAAGAAATGAATTTAATTTTTGAAGATTCATGAGGACATGAACTACGACACTTCACGCCGGCATATTTCATGAAGCGCGTTAGCGTTTCATGATAAATATGCCGGCATGAAGCGTTGTAGTTCATGTACCTCATGAATCTTCAAAAATTAAATTCATTTCTTATATTTACATTATTTTTTTCCACAATTTACGCCATTCAACTGTCATTTTTAAAGCAAAATGGTTTGCACTTTAGTTTTGACGTCAAGTACGGTATTATGACGTAACAATGGAGATATTCCTGCTCATCCATGGTAGTTCATGAGAAAATGAACAGTCTTGTAATTTGAAAAGAATCTTAAGGAAAAAAATTTGGAAATGTAAATATAACATCATATACTTACCCTTCTTTCAAAAAGAATATCTTTCCAAATGATCTAACATAATGCAGGCATATGTTTTCAGTGGTGTGTGCACACCTTGTATCATCATAACAACCATGTGACCATTCTTGCCCTCCTCTTGACCTTTCACCTCTCCTTTTCCTTTTTCCCCTCTCCTTCTCTATTAAAGGATACTTTGGTTCTAGAAATTTTCCCATTTCCATCAATGCAAGAGTTTCCTGTGCAAAATCCCTCACAGCTACATTCAACAAAGTAACAGACTCCATAAGAAATTCCTCTGTAGCAGGTTTCAAGGCACTAAGAAATTGTAACAGAACAGAAATATTATTTGATTCCCCTTATTTGCTTGTGTTTTTTCTCCATCAGCCATTTTTTTGCTATGTCAACCTATTATTAGATTATATCAAATCTAATAGAGTAGTTGCACTATATTTAAAAGTTCTACCAATGGATTTTTCCTTTTGGCTGAAACATTCATGCCTTATATTCCTATAAGTGTATCCTAATCTGAAACAAACTCTTACTTAACATTATGAAAAGGAGAGTAAAAACTGAAAGTTTACCTTGTACCTTCATATGTCCTGACACTTAACAAAGCTCAACTCTTTAACAAAGAATCTTGCTTCGATGATTTTACATACAACATTTACTAAAAATTGTTTGTATAACTAGTCAGCAATAACATAGGAGCCACTGTGTTGCTAGGGTGCATGATTTGAACTTGGATCTGCTATCATTTGTTAAGGCCAAAATGAAATTATTGCTTGTCAGGCATTATTGCCCTCCCACCTCACTGAAATGACATAGGTACTTGTGGACAGGACCCCCCTCCCCCCAATATTCAACCCCGGGGATTTTTGGACATTTTTTTCACAAATTATATTTATTGCACTTATTCATCATGTGTTCCATGGAAAAAAATCGTGAAAACTCCGAAATAATCGTTCCACACAAAAATATCCCACTATACATAATCAGAAAGAAAGGTATGCCACTCCAGTTTGTTTATGCTGTACCCCCAATGGTCTTTCTGGGTTTAAAAACATGTATTTATTTTATTTTAACCTTAAATGTCGGTTCACACTGTCTCTAGTTACATTTCTGTCTTAGTTCATGCTATTGGATTGACTCTGCATCTCGTAAGAATCCCATAATTTCTCCTTAAATAGCATTGCAGTCGGTGCATTGAAAAATCCTTAGGTACATGCAACGGAAGTGCATAGAGAATATATTACCTATTATGATAACACCTGAGAAAGATTATTACGTCAGGCCAAAACTCTCTCGGACGTTATCATAATAAGTGATACATTCTTAGTGTACCTCCGTTGTGTTTACCTAAGGATTTTTCCTTGAAAAACTTACTTGTAATCAAAAAGTGCATCCATCTTTTTCCATGTCATTTCGATATTTTCCGTAACCTCCTTTTTAACGTTCTCTGTCTCTCTGTCTCTATGCTGAATTTTAACCAATTTTTCAATTTTTCTCATATCATATGAAAATGTCAAACTTTTTTCAAGTTGTTTCTTGAGAATGTTGGTAATTTTGCCGGGATCAGGAGTAAATCCTTTCTCATTTCTAAAAGCATCCTTCACTTCTTCAATAAATTTTTCCAGAGGTTCTGGCATATCCTCATAAATGATATTTAAGTTCAAAAGATCTTTATAGGTCAGTTCGCTTGCTGAAAAGTTTCCTGAATTATAACTTGCAAGTCGACTCTTTAAGCAGCTTGAATCTGCTTCATCTTCATCCTCACTCCAAGTACTATACTCTGATGAACTTGATGGTGCATGTTTTTTTCTTCGCTGCATGGATGCCTTACAGGAGCTCAGTGTTTCATGTTCCATGTCCTTTTAGAAAGAAACAAGATGCCCAAGGGCCTTAATGGTCACCTGAGTACAATACAACAATTTAGAGGATCCATAAACTGATAAATGAAGCTTCATTGCTCAAAAGCAAGAAAAATAGTATGATTAGCATCAACAAAATAATTGGTCTAGTATCTATCTGTCCCCCATCTATCACTATTACCATGCAGACTATTTAACAAATTGTCTATTTTTTAACCCCATATTATTACTTCTCACATTGGCCTCTCTTGGCCTTTGAAGAACATTTAAAAAGATAAGTTATTTTTGTCTTATTTTTATTCATCTATTATTTCCAAGTCTATGTGATCATTAAAACTGTGAAAATACTTACAATAAATATTCTTGCATAATTCTCGTATTCTATTAACCTTTCAAATTCATGTTTACAGTGATTAATTATCAAAGGTGAATGGCAAAAGGGAATAACTTTGCTCTGCAGAATACAAGTTAATAGAGCCCTGGCCTGGACCAGAATGCTTGACTAAATGGTCCAGGTGTCCAAAATTCTGGTAAAAATACTTTACTTTGCATATTAAAACTTCTACTCTGTTTGCCTCGAATTTGCCCAGAAGCATATAACATTTTCAAAGAAATGCATCTTCACTATATTATAAAATAAATAAAGCCCCAACCTTACACCAGAACATCTGACCCAGGGGCCATGAACTCACTTTCTGGAAGAAGCACCTTTGCTCATCATAACTATACACTTGTTTCTTTGCTTTATAACCAGTAGTAGAAAACAACATTTTGAAAGAAATTATGCATTTTCACTAAATTATCAATAGAGCCCCCCCCCCCCCTTCACCAGAACCCCTGACCCAGGGGACATGAATTTCAAACTTTTGGAAGAGTCATTCTTCCTTATCATAACCATGCACTTCCATTGTTTGAATAATATGGTACCCAGGAGCAGAGAAGAAGATTTTGAAAGAATTTATGCATTTTACCTATATAATCAATAGAGCCCCACCCTAACAACAGAACTCTTGATCAGGGGGCCATGAGATTCACAATTTTGGAAAAGGCAACCATGCTCATCATAACTCATTGTCACTGTATACTTAGTTAATTTAATATCCAGGAGCATAGAAGAAGATTTTCAAAGAATTAATGCAATTTTACTATATAATCAATACAGCCCCACCCTAACACCTAAACCCCTGACCCAGGAGTCATAAAATTCACAATTTCTGAAAAGGTAGCCATGCTCATCATAACTATGTTCTTATTTACTTTATTTAATATCCAGGAGTGGAGAAAAGATTTTCAAAGAATTAATGCATTTTAACTATATAATCAATAGAGTCCTGCCCTAACACCAGAACCCCTGACTCTGGGGCCATGAAATTCACAATTATGGAAGAGGCACTCTTGCTCATCATAACTATGTACTAAGTTACTTTATTTAATACCCAAGAGTAGAGAAGAAGATTTTCAAGTAATTAATGCATTTTTACTACATAATCAATAGAGCCCCACCCTAACACCAGGACCCCTGATCCTGGGGCCATGAAATTCATAATTTTGGATGAGGCACTCTTGCTCATCATAACTATGTACCTAATTACTTTATTTAATACCCTGGAACAGAGAAAAGATTTTCACCATATTAGACCACGTGACAAATCTTTTCATGTCGGTACATTCCGGGCCATGTCGATATTCTCCGTAATTTCAACTGAATAAACTTAAAAACGTTATTTTAACGCAATATATGCAATTTTTCAATTAAAACGATTGAAATGTAAACAATCTAATATTTTAGTAAAATTTAAAAATTATTTGCATGAATTCAAGTCCGATCTCGAAAGCGTGATCTGCAGTGACAGCAATGGCGGCCCCCAGTGATAGAGTGCCGCGAGACACTCGAGGCCGTTTTACCTCTAATAAAAAGAAGAAAGGTAGGCCAGCCCTCTCGAAAAATAACGAAAATTTAATTGAACAAATTGTAATAGACCATAATTATACAATTGGCCACATTCACGATGATGCCCGGGATAGTTGTGACCTTTGCTGTCCCGGGTTTTCGTCTCTTAGTTCTTCGACGAAAATCAAAACAAATGACTGGCATGTGGGGCGCCGTATAGTGGAGTGGGGTTCCCTACTGAACGACCTCCAGTCTTGCACTAATTGTCGTTTGGGTCCGCTTCTTTTTACACTACAACATGTCAAAGGAGAAATGAAGATGGGGTTAGGTGGCTATTTGTATATACAATGTAGCCATTGTGGTTGCATTAACAGAGTTGGGTATGGCAGTACGTACATCGATCACAACAGAAGGGGTCAGCGGAACTTTACAGTAAATACCAAGCTTGGAGCAGGTATTTTTTTTTTTAATTCAAAATATTAATAATGGGGATAACTGAAATACATACTTGTGCAGTAGAATATTAAATAACTGTTCAATGTTTTGATTTGAGAGTCTCAGAAACCTTTCATAAAATAAATATAAATAATTCTTGTAGCAATGATTGACTCCCTTGGAGGACCCCAGAGAGTGAATAACTTTCTCACAACACTGGATCTCCCATATATATCTCATAAAAACCTGAAGGTTATGGAGAGGAGAGCAGGTCACATCATAGAAAACTTTGCAGAGAAAAGTATGACGAATGCAAAGAAAACTGCTTTTGAGAAAGAAATGAGGTTTGATTATATTTGAGATTACTTGAATGGTTTGTGAATTAGAAATATTATGGCCAATCAAAGACGGTGATAATGTTTTTAGTGACTTTATTATTGTAGCGATATTGCACATTTAGAGGAGGACATGGCCCCTTTTGTAACTGATGTTTCATATGACAAAGAACTGGGTTTGGCAGTCCTGGAGGGAGAATTTCAAGGGTATGTCTCAAGTGCTAGAAATAGATGAGAACTTTATAGAAAAAGAGAAATATTATACTTAAATGTGGCATATTATGAATATTTAACATTAACATATTCAATTTTCACTGTAAACTTCTTTTTCTACAGTGATCCTTCAATACTCAGAAAAACTGTTTTCCAGGATGTGGACTTTATCAAAGAGAGTAGAGATGGCAGTGAGGAAAGAGATAGGTTTGTATATTATTTAATGGTTATTGATTTTTGCAGTTGAAATATGATGACCATTCAATGAAATTGATGTTTTATTATAGTGAGCTTTCGTATTCAGAGGAGGATAAGACTCCCTTAGTAACTGATGTTAATCATGTTACATGTGATGAAGAGCTGGGTTCAGCAGTTCTGGAGGGTCAATTACAGGGGTATGTTTCAAAATGATAGAACTTGGAGATATTGTAGTTGATGAGAATTTTGAGGGGAAAATACATTTTGCATGTTTAGTAATGTTCAATGACCCTTCATTACTCAGACTAACTACCACTGGTGTGTGCCAGGATGAGGAACTTGCCTCCAAAAATAAGGAAGGCAGTGAGGGTGGAGAGAGTAATAGGTATGTAAACATGTTTGCTTTTTTTTTCTTTTTCCGGGTTATGGCTAGGGAAACAGCTAATCCTACTTTTGATAGACTGTATTTTAACAATGTTTGTGTATTCAATCTTTAGGAATTTTCAGTCAAAATCGGGTGATGCGGATTCTGTTTGCCAGTTATCTTCATTTGAAACACCAACTAGAAGTACAAGGTATCAATATTTTGTTTTTATATCCCCATAAAGCAAGTAATTGTGGAAAAAAAATAGAAGAGTAAAATAACTTTGTTTTGCTGTGTTTTCTGTCACATTATTTAACAGTTATCAATGTTGAATATTATTATACATGTATTGTCAAATCAGTTTGATATTATCCATTTTTCTTCGATTTTACATAACGTCTGCTATCCATTACAGGGTTACTTATTTCAAACAAAGGAGACACCAGAGAAAATTTAGGCCAGACAACACATCAACTGTTACATCCAAGAGGAATTTAAAATACATGCCCACATCCAGGTTCGGTATGACTGTTTGTGCTGACCATGGTTGGCAGAAGAAAGGCTTTGATAGTCTTACAGGTATGAAGAATTCTTAATTGTAGGTGCTTCTTTAGCAATTTAGGAAAGATACATGTATAATCAATTGTGAATCTTATCTACATACAGGGCACACATTTCTTATCAGTAAAAGTAAGTATGGTAATAAAGTTTTGAAAACTATTGTCAAACACCGTACCTGCGCAACATGTAAGTGGTGGAAACGCAACAGACCTGGTCAAGTTATTCGCCCACACAGATGTGTGTGGAACCACAGTGGCTCATCAAAGCTTATGGAGGCAACCGCAGGAATACAAGCAATAAAAGAGATGATCTCAGAAGATACTCCTGTAGAAGTGGTGGAGGGGGATGGAGACAATACAGTAATATCCAGAATACACAATGAACTTGGCGTACAACTGAAGAAAAAACTAGACCGTAATCACTGTGTAAAAATATTGTGAAACATCTGTATGAACTTAGAAATTCCAAGGATGCCAAAATTAGTAACCAAGTAATACACAGCTAATTGTGCCACGTACGTGTAACGTATGGTAGCACATACCATATGTTACACGTATGTGAAACATACGTAACACATACGTGTATTCCAACCGCATGTTATACGTACGTGGCACATTTTGTTGTATACAACATTTATCTAAGTGTATAAAATACATTTTTGCAAAAAACCAGGGAAATATTGATGGTATGAAGGAAAACTTGCAAGCTCTTGTGCCACACCAGTTTGGTGACCATACTAAGTGTTTCCCAAGATTCTGTGGATATAAGAGGACACCAAACCAGACATATTCACATAGAAGCTTACCATACAAGGCAGCACTTAAGGACCAAAATCTGAGAGAAAAGCTTGAAAAAATTTTTGAGCCGGTAATTGCAAATGCTGCACTTTATTCAGACCTAGGTTCCAGCCAAGCCTGTGAACATGCTAACAGGGCTGTAAGTCTTAGAGCACCAATGCATCTGCATTATGGGGATAGTGAGTCTCTAGATTTTAGAGTTAAAG